GAAGATCACCACCGATCTATCTACCTCTTACCTTCCTCTCCCTACTTCTTTTCTCCATGCACAACGCCTCATCAAACGGACTCGCTAACCTGTGCCAAAACCGCGTGAAAATATTTCATGCACCGGTCAGGTTCCGAACTATCCAATCGTTGTCATTTCCACATTGCGGAAAGTGACTAGAGCGAAATATGTTGAACAAGAATGAGTTTATTAAATCAAAAAAAAAGGAAAAGTAAATGCTACCAGAAGGTTGATTATTGCAGGTCGAAATTGACTTGCAGTTATATGTCTGTCCGTAACTAAAAGATCAAATAATGATTTACAAGGTGAAATCTTTCAAAAGTACTGATTTAATATTAGAATTGAAATAATCTGACGATTAGATCTTGTCACTATTTTTTCTTCTTGCTAAAATCGTTAATGCAGAGGTAATTTATAGAAATTTGTTTTAGACTTAAAGATAGCTAGCTATTAGGAAGCCTGAAAAGGGTTTAGATTTCGGTATACCGCTTGTTATGAATTAAGCTAGTTTTAAAATAGCGACACAGAACACTGGATTTAATTCAGTTGTTTGCAGTATTTTTTGAAGTTAGAAATCTACTGATAAGAGATCACATGGGTTCTTTTTTCGCTCAGAACTTCAACTATGCTTAAATTCTACAGCAAGATAATCTCTCGCTCCCTCTTTTTACTTGTGCATTAAATACACCGGTAATTAACCAAGTTAGATAGAGAAGAAAGCACAAAGGTTCACTTTTTCCGGCGTAATAATTAGGTAATTGAAACGACATTGCAAAGATAATTGCATTTTCATGGGTGATTCGAAGTTTAGTGCCACTTGTGCGGCTTTTTGATATTGCTTGAAGAGGATGATTTAACAAAGGAAGGGTAACTCCAAATGAGATCCGGTCTTCCCTTATTACCTGGAAAGTTTTCTGAACACTGATACTGTTCATATGATAGCATAACTTTTCACAATCTTCCATTCGTTTTCTGCTTTCGCATTCGCTTGTGTATTACAGCGGTTTTGATAGGAGGTAAGGACGAACTTTATTCAAAGTGTAATGAAATAGAAATTATTCATTCATTTGATTAGCTCATTATTACAATTTTTAAGCGTCTAAAATATGAATATATGTTATAATTTTTTGGTAAACCAGACAGTAGATAAATGTTTTTTATTGCTACTTCAAACATTTTAGTATTTAATGTGAAATGTTTTGTGCATATCCGTCCTAGAAAAAATTAGACTTCAGTATTGGAGACAGCTTGAAATATTTTGAAAAAAAGGAAAGAAAACAGACAGCAGAAGTGAGACAATTCAATTTAGCAGTAGAACCAGAGAAAATTCCATCTCCACCGATCATTTCTGCGGATTTAAGGGCACAACTTGCCATAAAGTCCGTTAATTCATTTCACAAGTTTGAAGACCACTGTTTACACTTACAGTGGATTGGATAGATAAGTGAATAAAAAAGTAGAATCTATCGAGTTCAAACGAAAAGTACTGTATTGTGATAAAGTTAAAAAAGGGTTTGTAAACTTGGCTTGTGAGATCATACCTTCATTTTCACATTTTTTGCTCTGCACTTCTTTGCTTTTAACAGTGACTTTTCAAGTGGTTGCAATATGTTTCATTTGCAGCTAAGCTAGACTAAGCATTGCTGGTGTTTTTTGGTTCATTTGGACAATGTTGTGATTTACATCAGATAGCCATTCTTCTCGTGATCAAATGAAACGGTTTACTGTGCGAGTACGTTGTTATGCAATTTTTGCAGGGAAATTTATTGAATGTTTAAGCTGCTTACCAAACAGCTATGAGACTTAATAATAAACCGGAAGGAAGGATAACCGTGCCGAAAACGACAGTTTGGTCCGTTTTTAGGACAAACTTGGTAAAGAATCGTAGGTATGAAAATGTTGGGATGCAGAAAAGGGTAGTTCAGATGAATAGAGGGAAATAATAAGATCTTTTTTGTCATGTTTAATTTAAAAATTTTGATCTAAACCTTTATGTTAACATTCAAACCAGTCAAATTCTCTTTTCACTTAAATGCATCATTAGTTCAACTTATGGAAAATAAGAAGTACATATATAAACCGTCGTGGATCGTAAACAAGTTTCCAAGTCAAATTTTGAAATGTAAGAAATCAAAAAGTGGAACAGAGAGGAAAGTATGAGGTAAATATACAGAAAAAGAAGTGGAACAATTTTAAAAATGAAGCAAAGATGAAAAAAAATAATGATAATCAGAAATATTTTCACAATAAACATTATTTTACGTCAACAGTGTTGAAAGTTGAAAGGATGAATTGGTTTATTGAATTGCACATTAGGCAATAATTACTCCATACTTACAGAATAATTTTACTAAGAATAATTCCGGAAACAAAGAATTTTTTTAAATATAAAAGAAATAAGCAAATACTGTGCCTAAAAACTGTCTAGGACCAATTAAAAGCATTTGTCATTGTGACAGATAACCTGAATGATATCTGTACTGCACTCACACATACGCATGTAGATGATGCACATGCCTACACATACAATAAGAGAACTTTGAGACGAGCTCATCCTACATGAACCTCTTTAGGATAGTCACCCTCCTCTACATTCCCGAAGGAACACTGTATCTCTCTGCCAGTCAGCAGCAACCAACACCCTCACTGCAATCAGCTGTTTATTTATTAAGTGCATTTGTTTGTATGTGTATGTTTGTGTGAGTGTTAAGTAGAAAAAGTTGAAAAAAACACACACACATGGTGCTTAGGTGGATGATGATGTAATCGCTGTTGCGGTTGAAATGTATCAAGAAAGAAGGAGCGGGAGTTGTGCACAGCTCATATACCTATAATGCACCAAGGTTACCCTAAACTAATTCATAGATATTCACACCTACTTAATTCTATTTTATCGTGTCCTTTCTACACTGTCTATTTTTTTGTCACTCATCTAATTACTATCCTTGATGCCTTTAGCTTATGCAATTTTCAGTTTTATTTGATAAGTCCAGAGAGTTAATTCTTGAGGATGATAAAATTGGAGATTAATAATAATGCACTGATTTGACGTTTTTCAAGTCTCATGGAAAAGAGTAATACTTATTGAAATGTCTGAGATCTTTTGCTGATAGTGGGAATAATTGATTGAATAACTGATGTAGTCAATCCGTTTTCATGTATCACATATTAGTAGAAGGATATGCTTGGTAATAGCTTCGGGATGTTGTGTTTTGCTGCAGAGCGATTGAAATGGAAAATTTCTTGTCAGTTCAAAAGTTTGCTTTCCTGGTTTTTTATGTTGCAGCGTTACCAATTCACGAAGATTTAAATGATTGAGCTCATAAATATTTCAGCTCATATTATTACTGATATCTTTTTATTGGTCGATCATTTCATGTTCTATTTCATGTAATTATTAAATAAGCAAACACCGTGATACCATTCAGGAGCCTTTCACTTCTGGAACTGTTTTTGAAATGATAGTTCCAAAGAGTTAATTTTACACTTTATATGATAATTGATACCTTTCTTATCTCACTACAGCAAGATATATCATCACGTAGCTGCAACTGTAAAGCTTATTTTTCGTAGCAATTCAGGATTGTTATTCGGCATTTTTCATGTGCTTGTAATTTTCTGTAGTTATGCCTGAAACAATATTTTTACAATGCTGTTTTAGCGCCATAGATATTTAAGCAATCCTTCGCTGTCCAGCGTCTTATGTTTTCAACATATCTTCTTATCTGATTTCCCGATCAATTTGCATGCTTTTCTTATCAGACTATGGGACCCCTTATTATTATCTTGTCAAAATAGAAGCATGATATTTTTCTAAATTGTTAGAAGGATCATATGATTGCAGAACTTGGTAGATATAGTATCGGTTCACACATTTAATGTCATAAATTATCGAATTAGCAAATGACACCAAAACAAAAGTGGTTTTTTATACGGGTGAAAATAGATTTTAAGAAAAAGTGCGCCTTGTAGAAATAGATTTGTTGACCTTCTGGAAACAACAATTATTTCTCATCATTTCCCTTTCTTGAATGCTTACATATTTACTAACAGTTTGAAAGTATCTGGGTTTTGATTACCGCTGATTATTAAATATGGAGATATTTGTATTCTACTATCCGTTTGCAAACGTTGGTGCATAGTGAGGTGATAAAATGTTTTACATCAATAATAACGACTATTGGTTCTGTCTAGGAAAATATGAAACACATTTTTTTATGAGATAGATAAATAACTTATGAAGTGTGAAATGAAGTACGATTCCTACCAATCATGTCAGTTGTTTAATAAATTCAAATTTGATTAGTGGCATTTGCAGGTTATCTGACGACAGTACATACGGTTATGCCCAGTTCGCTGAGAGAACCATAAGAAATTATATGATTGTTCACCTATTCAGTAAACGTTACTGCATAGATTTAATTTGTAAATGAATCCACCTCTGGATCCAATACAAATACAGGTGAAGTACCGTTCGTGGTGCGTATTTCAGTAATAAATGTAGTTAATTCAATTGTAGTGTCATGCACTGATTCAAAACAGTCTTCTGTTGAATTTTCGCTATGAAAATATCCGGAATGTTTTGTTTTTAAAAAATGTGAAGTATATATTTCGGAGCTGAGGGAAACAAAAATTCCCTCAAATTTTCTTAAAACATTAAAATGTAAGTTCAAGAGGAGAGAATGGGAGATAGGAAAGAAAGAAATAGAGAGAGCTAGCTAAGTTTCATCTTGTTTGATGAATTTACAAAATCTGCATTTCTCATATTTGATTGAAGAAATTCCAGGGCACTGATTTTTAATTACTTAATTTTGTTACTGGCAGAGAACATTATTTGGGTAAAGATCGAGTGCTCTTTCAAATGTGTACTAATCTAATTTTTAATGATACGCTTGAAAATGATTATCATTATCTGAGTGAAAGTTCAGTAAAGTTGTTTTCTTGTTTGAAGAAGGACAAGGATAAAAGATAAGTGGAAAATGGATGGAAACACTGAACAAGGACGCAATATTCGTGATGATTCTTCAAGCGTTCATCCTAAACTGCGTGGTAAACGAAAAGCGACCGATGATCTCATCGGTACATGTTTCTATCATATGCCTTTTACATTGCATCTTCAAATATAATTCCATCTCACGAAACCTGGGGATTTATGAAGCTAGCGAACTATACCTTAATGCTATCCGTCTTACGTTGAATGTTTAAGTAGTCTTGGCATATTCCGGCACTTGCAATTAGGCACCGTGTCTTCATTCTTCCCATGATCAGATTGTCCTCATAAATAGTTCCAAATTTCATTTAAATTCCCTTTAAAGTTACAGTTTGACAAGAAGAGTTTATATTCCTTATCTCATCTGTTTCTGATAATGCTGATGAAATGCTTTTGAAATTAGTATCTCGGACTTTCGCAACGACAATTTTCTCAGCGTTTTAAATCATTTAAATTCACTAGGAACGGGAGGATCGTTGGATTCGTCTCCCGGTTCGTCGTCTCTACTAGCCCAGCTGCATGCATCTTCATCTTCATCATCATCGCAACCACAACAGCAAACGTATGGGTCAGGTCCAACGGCAACAACATCTCAGGAAATGACACTACAGGTGATAAATACGAGATAGTTACCATCAGCATTATTGAATATTTTCACTATATTGACTTCATCGAAGAAGTGCGGTCTATCAGTCACTGATCAGCTCCGGTTTCAGTTCGACACTCTTGCATTAATGGAACAATTGAAAAAACGCAATCTGGGACTTGAAATACCAACCAATTTCACCGGTATCTTTTCGAATTGATCATTCCTTTAAAGTTTTATTAGGGCTTTTGTAGATTTTTAAAATTTATATACACACTTTCTCCATCATCCAATTGTCCCCACTCAGTTTAATCTATCGTGACATTCCTCACGCGTACATTCTTCCGCTCAACTTTATCAGCTTTGTGGTAACAAATAACTTTGACAATTGCTTCAGGATATTGAGCATGATGCAAGTTTAGTATTACATATACAAATAATTGCTAACACTGCGCAGCCAAATATTTCAGTAGCAAATTATATAGCCTTTTAAAATTATCTGTTAGCATCAAGACTGGAGGTATCAATTACTTCGATCAGCTATTTATTTCCTCTATGTTTTTGGCATCTGCTGAATAATTTCATATCTCCTTAACCTTAAGGCTTTAGCGAACAAAATGATCTATTTTAGAAGGTGAAAACGGAAACCCAGAATATGCTATTAGTTATTCAACAAATAAAGTAAAAGTAAGGATCTTCCTGTACTTAACCTGACTTATTTCAGTGGAATCAATGAATGAAACAACAGTCAATTTGGAGGTATGGAAAGCAAGTCGTGTGTTGGCTCGCCCACCTGATATTGAAGGGTATCTGCCAGCATGCATTAAAGGTGTTAGAGCAAACAAAGATGTCACCGTACAGGTTTGTCCAGTACCCGAAATCATTTAAACTGCTACATCGAAAAAAGCAGATGTTTAAGAGAAGAAATTCGACTTGTTTTTGCTTCAGTCATGAATCAGCATGTTTTGGAAAGTTTCTAATTAAGTTTGCAGTTTGACAATGGTACTGAACATGTATTCGAAGATGTGATAACATCATTGCGTGAATATCCTGACATACTCGCCGATCAAGCACCAAGCCCTGATTCGGTAACTTCTTTAAAATTTCATTTAAGATGAAGTATTTTCTAGAGTATTCATTGTGCTCTTTATGGGAACGAATTATTTTGTGAATATTCCAGCAAATACCCATTAGAACGCTAATTGTAGAGAATAAACGACATGAGATGAGTTCCTAGATCTGTTTCTTTCAATGTCACAACCACTTTTCTCCCGGAAATTCACATCTCTTTGTTGAGCCAAATTTCTACTTGAATATAAAATATGCTACAAGTGCAGATTCCTTTGCGCGTTACATGCAGAAATTCTAAATATTTTGCATTTTACCAGCGGCCGTTTTCAGATAACCCATCGTTTGCTTTGACATATTGCAAGTCATTTTATTATTCACTTCGCTTTCACATATTTCATTAGAAAAACCATCACTAGAAAGTGAAAATTGCATCAATGATGTAATTCAGTAAATGCTTCGCCATATTTGTTTAGGTGTAACTATGCAAAAAACTGCTCTATTATTTCAGATCAATGTTGCGGACGTGGTTTGTGTGAAGTGGAAGAATGATGAGAACATATATCGTTTAGCTGAAGTATTGAAAAAAACGACTTGGCCCATAATGTTTCAGGTTTTTTTTTTCAAAATTAATTGCAGTTTGTAATGACTACATTGATCGTGAAATACTTCAGCTAAAAGTAAAGTGTTGCAGATGCGTCTTCATGTCGGCATTTCAACCGATTTTTGGTTTCATCGTGCAAGCATACGGTTGCTACGTCCGCCCTGGTACGATGAGCTAAATGCCATGGGCAATTACAATAATTCTGCCGGCAAAAGTCGGTTCGTTCAAAAGCAATTAATAAACATCATACTATGATGGGAAGTAGTATGATGCTCTTTCTGCTTTAATTACAGAATAAAAATGATTTATTCATGGAAGAAAGATTATGCTTATCAGAATAAAGTTACAGTGATGAAAATGGTGGAGCTTATTCAAATAGCTGTTCTGGAGTATTGGCAAGTGTAATAACACATTTTGCACCTCTAACTTTACCAAATGTTGTTCAAACAACCTCATCCAGCCATCTGAGGCATTTTCTTTTTTCATTTCCGATAAAGAAGGATACTGTCGCACATTTTGATATAGAAACAAATTGCACTTATCTTTAGGTAAGCGGAAATCTATATTAACACCAATATAGAGATTTTTCTGTGAGTACTCTTTTGGGATATCTGACTTATTTTTCTATTTAAAGCATTTGTTTCAGTGCAACCGAAAATGAATCTCAAACACTACAGAAAAAGACTAGTTATAGTGATGCTGCAGATTCAGATGATGAACCGATGAAAGATGATCAGGTTAGATTGTACAATATGTATAAGTACAATTTGCACCATTTATTCCATCTCTAAAGGCACTTGATGGTTTACTTATTTTCAATAAAACTGTTCTTAAAGAAATTATTGTTAAGATTGACGGTACATCTGATGCGAACAATTTTTCGGGTAAATCAACACCAAGATCTGCGGTAGGAGCAGTTGCAACGGAGCGAATGTCAACGCAGTTTTTTGGCCTAACACCAACTCAAACGGTTTCTGGCAGCACGACAACTTTTGATGAAGTTCAGCAAGTGCAACAATGTGTAGCAAGTCAAGCTGTTTCAGCAGCTTGCGTTGCTGCCGTGCAGGTGAAAATTCGTTTCAATTGTATGTACACTATCCTGCTTGATCTATTTTTCAAATCTTCATTCATATCAGTATTGATAATAGCTTTTATTTTAATACGGGTAACTGTCGCAATTACCTCACTTGCAACGATTATGCTCACCACTCTCCAATGACGATTATGACGATTATTTGTTGTATGGACATTAGCAGTATCACATAGGATTTTAACGTGTTTTGATATTATTGAAACTATCATGTTATGTTAGACTCATTCTGGCGCATCTGCCACTAATGTTAGCCTGTATCTTCCACCATTACGTATGACATCTTGGAAGTTGGCTAACTGAAATCATAGATGATCTGAATAATGAAGACTTTTTCCTCACTTCTATTTTCACCAGTAGATAATGAAGATGTAGATGTAATCCTTTCACCTTTTTTTACACATCGATAGTGCTATGAAATTTGCGCTTTCCGACAATTTTTCGTCGTGAAATCTGCAACTGACGATTGTAATGGACAATTCTTAGCAAAGATGAAATATAACTGCTAATTTCTTCTTGGCTAACTTTATCTACTTTCATAGTGGCTCTTGAGCATATTGGAATATGCTTTATTCCAAGCTTTTTTTCTGGTCCGTTTTTCCAATTTTTACGTTCAGCTAATGCGAGCGTCTCATTTATTTGAAATGCATCTCAATAAGAGTGTGATACCGTCTGTGATGTTCAAATGATCAAACTTGTGGCCATTAATTTGCCTATCTTCAATTTATTTTGCAAAATACCACTTGAGGAGAAAGATACTAAGATTTGGCAGCAGAGAATCATTCTGTTTTAAATCTTTCTCAACTTGCAAATAATTGAAAAATTAAACTGTACGTTATCATAATAATTCATTGTTACGAGAACTTAAAGCATGACATTAATTTAACGATATTGATTTCAACTTCTCATATTCATCCGGATAGAGTCATATGGAGCTTTCTTCCTTTATGCTTCCTGCCGTTATCATTTGATGCAACAACAGGTTTTCCTCTATCTCTTTAAACTTAGCTTTCTCTGGACTTTTTTCAGCTACTTTGCAATCAATTTCGGAAGGAAGAAATATTCGGTATTTCTGTTTCCACCTCTTTGTTTTTCCAATGAATTGTTTTTATGCTAAGATGATACTCAGTTTCATCCTTCATAATAGAAATCTAGGTTCATCGGTAATATGTGTAATTTCTTCATTTATATTAATCGCCAACCGTGAAATTAATCTAGCATTGCATATTCCTTTTCTGAATCCTTATGCGCCAATAAAAATGCTTTGATTTCCGCTGTAGGAATGATTCTTGTCCCCAACCGCATTCCGCGATAATTGCTTTCGAAGAAATTGCTTAAAATGCGTCGTGCATTGAATAAAAATTGATTCGCGCTTTTAACTTTTATATTGGTACAACCCCTTCAACCATTTCATTCTTGCGAAAGCTGTTTTATCCTCGTTATCAGTGACATCCGATCACTGTTCGGCATTTTTGTTGTCATATCTTTCCTCGTGTACATTGTTTGCATTCCAATCTTCAATCATGGTCATATGGTTGACCAAGTTACGTTATACTCTTCAACATAACTGATTTTAAAAGTGCTGGTGTGAGAGTGATCCAGTCAAGTACCATTACACTTTGAACGTACAGTAGTTTATTGCTGCATTTACTTTTCATGATTTCACGATAAACGCATTTTCTCCTGCAGTTCGTTCCTTTTGCTTATTTCCAGAATAATCAATCATTTCTGAGGACTAAGCTAAGCTTCATTTTCCGATTTACCTGTCATTCATTCGTCGAGGATGTTGGAAAATGTTTTAATGATCTCGAAGATTACCAGCTGTATCTAAGATCCTAGTCGAGTATGAGGTCCAGATTCTTGACAGTCCACAGTCGACTCATTGTTTGGATATAACTCCAAGAGATGACTAAGGAAGGATTGCACGTCTCTCGGAACGACTTCCCGGCAATCGCTCAAACAGCAAATAATGAGAGGCCATTTGTGCATGGCAATTATAACTTGATTTTAAATGCAAATCGATAAATATGTTGCTATTATCATTCATTGTTCAGAAATCGGCCAGCAAAGCATTCTCTACAAGTTAACAAGTTCCTATATCAGCAATTATGCCTCTACGATTTACAAGTCTTCAAGAATAAACGTTACAGCACTAACCTGAATACATGGATAAGACGTGCAGGGCACATTTCGTAAAGATAAAGGCATCATCACATTTTGAAATGTAGAAACTTGCATTAAACGGTGGTCAATTTCGTTAACAATATCTGCAGATATGAATTTTTGCATGGATTGAATCTCGCTAACAATAATTGCAAAAAGAAATTTTAGCAGCAACAAAGATATAAAAAAGGTGAAATCGTAACGACACCAGGCGGAATTCGTAAAAAATTTAATGGGAAGCAATGGAGACGGTTGTGCAGTAAAGAAGGATGTAATAAGGTATTTCAAATATTACTAAATTGATATTACTGTTTGATTTATTGTTTCCCTCACATAAATTTTACCTTCATGCTTTTAAAATTCAGAAACTTTCGAAACTGTATTTTCATTCAATAAATTTTCATATGTTATTAGGAATCGCAGCGGCGTGGCTACTGTTCCAGGCATCTTTCACTGAAAGGAAAATCTATTCGATCAGAGTTTAATCTCGCTACTACACTTTCACCAGGCAACGATTTGAATGTTTTTATCAAATTTTTGAAAATTGTTCTTTTAAAGCAGAATAATTTATTATATAATAGTTATACTGAGAAAATAGTATCGGAATACAGGTGGAAGTTCGATCGATTGGTCACACGGAGAATTCTCAGAGTTGAGTCCAGTGGAAGCTCAGGGTCGTCGGTTTGACGAAGCTGATGTTGCTAACACTCTTTTGAATCTTCATAATACGCACGGTATCAAACAAATTTTTTAAATAAAATTAATTTATGTGTAAGACTGGCCCAGTAAATTAAAATACGTGTAATCTAATTTACTGGTATGAATATGATTGTATTTGAAAGGAGTTTATGCATAGAATGGAAATTATAAAATTATTTTACCTGTGATGAACCATGTAACAGTTAGTTAACAGGTGGTTATCTCAAGGTTTCTTACCATCCGTGAGTGTGGAACAACCGTTTTCGTCATCAGCACCGGCACGGTTTCATCATATTGTTCCACCAAATCCTCTAGCTCCAAAGCTGATTTCCGGTAGTGCACCACCTTTATCACACTCGCGTACTATAGATGATGCTCTCAGTGAAGTGATCAAGGTAAAATTTTGGTTTACTTCCACTTTATCACTTCTTTCAGATAATTTGTTGCATTTCGTTATGTTATCGTTCTCGTCATCTCAATAGTTTCAGATAGATAAGTCCATCACTAACCATGGTATTTATCACCCGAATTTAAAGACTGTTACGGATCGACTGCTTGAGCGAGCATATCCACAACCATGTGATCTGCTGCCTCTTATGCCTCTTCCAAGGAAAAAGGTTTGCATGAGTTATTTTTATGTAAAATATTTTCTTTTTAGCAGAGTAATATCATATCTTGATGGCAGATTCGACCATGAAGTGCTTGCTAATATTGTTAGAAATGATGAATGAGAATAAAAACGAATGGTCTAAAGAAATGAATAACTAATGCGGTGTATCTGTTATGTAATATTTTTCTCCCAAAATTACTGTAGAATTACATCATAAAGAAGCAACTAATGAGAGTTTTCCAAAAATTTTTTCATATCTTTGAGAGGAAAATCTTCAGAATTCTTCATTGGAATTGAATATTTGTGCGAATGCAAGCAACTCATTATTGATGCAACTTGCTCCTCGTTTCGACCCGTTCTCTTCATTCAATATGTTATCAGAGGTGTCAAATAATGCAGGCACTTCAAAATCGGATGAATCAGTATCTCCGATGGGGGATTTTTCAATAAGCAAAAAGTTTTCCGAAAGTGACGATATATTGGATGATACAAGCACTGCTGGCACGGGTTGCATTTCTTTTTCTAATTCATTTTACACATTGAAAAAATTTATCAAATAATGACATTCCTTCCAATCTTAGTATAAATCAACAACGGAAATGATCGTATAGTTCTCTATTCAAACACCTAGTGCTAATTTTCGAACTATTTCTTGTAATCTGTTTATAACAACAGTTTTGCTGTTGGATGAGAAATCTTGTATCAGTTGTTGACAAGAAAACAAAAAATAAAACTGTTACGAATGAAATTTAATTGTTCGATTGTTCATAAATTACAGATACGGAAATAGATGATGCAAGCGAAAAAACACAATCTTGTAAAGGCGATGGCTGCAATGATGAAAATATAACAGACAATGACGATTTTGAAGAAGACTTCAGTAGTAGTGTTCATGAACAACTTTTTCCTGGAAGCGAAAGAAGCGGTACATTTTTTTCTGATTTGCACTTATCAATCGTGACACCTTACTAATAGAAGACGATAACATCAGATTTTTAATGATCGGCTTCAGCATTTTTCCTGGAATATTTTATATCTGTGTGTCTTCATTATTTCTTTTTTTTGAATGGAAAGCTTGTGTGTTTTGTTTGAGTTTTATTGGTAAAGGGAATTTTGAGTTTTTATTGGTAAAGGGAATGTAAGTGCTTCCATTCGGGGCTTATGAATTTTTGTAGGAAGTGTGACTGGAACATTCCCTGGTGAAAGCATTGCCGGACATGATGTCATGGATGACTATTCGGAAGGCGAAACTGATCAAGAAGGTTTATTAATTGATCCTTTGCACTGCTTGCTACTTACGCCTCTCGTAGCAATATTGCATAGTAATTCGTAAACAGTCGCACCATTCTTTCTTAGTTTAGGAGAAAATTACGCTGTATAGCTAAATGTTAATCATTAGAACAATTTTCTATAAATATTTGTCCTTGGACTTTCAGAGATTCGCATTCTTCGTCACCTAGAAATAAGAATGAGCCATCTAGTAACTGTTTCAAATGTTGTGATAAAGTTTCACCTAATGATCCTCCCTGTATGGCATAACTTTTGCTTCTATCATGACTATATTCTTGAATTCCTGATACGATTTTTTTCCATGATATTGGTTTTTTAAGCTATCTGTTGGTTCTTTGAATTAAGTCTTCCCTCTATTCAGCTACTGCCAGTTACTAAATTCCAGAAATTGTACCCGCAAATTGTGTATTCGAATTTTATTCTGGACTTTAAATTATACGTTATAGATAATCAGAATTAAAACAAAGTAATGCATGTTCATTTTTGCAAAAACAATGAATAAATTTTATATAGTGAATTTGTTAATGAGTATTCGTTTCTGTGGTTTGCTTCTTTTTTTCAAACATTTTTTCATCATGACTTCTGGATCTCGAGATTTCTAGATTTAGTTTTAATAATTTCGCATCCTGAAATACGAAAATTTCAATAGTAATTGTCGATCCTTGTTTTTTGTCTCTTTAAGACTGTATGATAAACAACTGGAATCAGCTTGCAGGTGAGAGATACTCATCATCGATTCCGTGGCATCATTTGGTACCACATTTACAGAAACGGATGTTCGAAAATTCATTGAAAGAATTTACGTCAACACCTGATGATTCAGCGCAAAATTCGGTGTGTTTCCATGCTCGCCTTTACTACTTCTCACTTGACGATGTGCGAAGACATTTTTGGCAGTGTAATAAATAATTCTGTTATTCAGGATCAAAAAGAATTCGGCGATGACCAACAAACTAGTGGAGGCGGGAAGATGTCCGATGGAGATCAGGGCGGTACGGACCAGCAGTTTGAAGCTGAAGGTGACAGATGTGATAATGCTACCGATTGCACTGATAAAGTGCAAAATAGTAGAGTGATCGACGACGGTGAAAACGGAAAAGAAGGCATTGAGAATAGTACATTGGAAAGTGGAACTGTTCAGCAGGAACACTTTTTACGGAAACAGCAACATGGTCTTAGCCAGTGCTACAACAAGTAAGAAAGAATCAGAAATGATAAATGATTACAATTTTCTAAGTTTAACATTTTTCAGAAGTTACGGATTTGAAAAAAGAGGTGGAAGTACAGATGCTCAGATTACAACACACTGTGGATCGGAGACTTCGAAAAGCATTTTGCTTGGTTTGTTAATTATTGCAAATTATGGATTTTCTATCTGTAGATTATTTTATATAGCTCAAGAATTCTTTTCAAATGCGTCATGATAAAAACAGTTCAGACTTCACCTGAATTCCAAATATTGCTTTAAATTATATAAATTTAAAATCTAATCCTTTATGTGATTTTGTTGCTTGTTTATTTAGTATTAATTGTAGATCACTTTAACTTCGAATTCGAAGATGAAGAAACATTTGAATTGGACATAGTTGATGAATCAATGTCAGCATCATCAAAAAAGCGTAAACTGCAGACTATACTCAATCCAGACATTGGAGACAAAAAAGTTGTAAGCTTCAATGAAGACATTGAATTTCTACTATTCGATATGTTTATCCTCATTACTGGCATTTACATCCTACAATTATATTCGATATTGCAGATGATCTTACAGTTTATCCATATCAATAGATAAGATGGGCATTTTGAATATGCTTCTACGTAATTTCAACTAGTCCCAAAAAATTATGATAAAAAAAGTTATCAGGTTCGACAACATATACGACGACCAATGAACGCTTTTATGATTTTCTCAAAACGACATCGACCGTTAGTACATGAAAGGTATCCGAATCGAGACAATCGAACAGTTTCGAAAATTCTTGGCGAGTGGTGGTACGCACTGGGCCCCGAGGAAAAGCAGAAATATCATGATCTTGCCACTCAAGTTAGCACCATATTATCGTTTCTCGAAGCCAACTCGTATTCTCTCCACTTCCCCTCGAAAAGTTTCAGTTTCTAGGTGAAGGAAGCACATTTTCGTGCTCATCCAGATTGGAAATGGTGCAGTCGTGAAAGAAAGAAAACAACGAATGGTATTCGCTTGGAAACAGAAATACGTACGCATTGTTAAATTTCGTTTTCTTCAGTTTAGTGGAATTTAGGACAAACACTTTTACTTGGCATAAGAGACGATAATCGTTATGCAAAATCACAATAACGCACTATAAAATTAAAAGGATTCCACTCTTGTTAATACATTGAGATACAATTTCTTGGGAAAAAAGAAGAGAAACATTTCATGCCATAAATTTTTTATAAACATTTTACGAGAAAAGCGAGAAAAAAAGCAAAGGTTAGAAAATAAGGATAAAAAGTTGAAAAAGCATAGTTAGCTTAATAGACGAAGCTTTTCATCTCTTTTTATCATTTTCTCGCTATATGACACGTTTGTATTTTTTTTCTAGTCTAAATGAATCCCTGAAGTTACGATTATTCTAAAACTCATATCTTTGTTACAATTTCGAAGATTATTGATTCGCATGATGAATTAGTCAATTTTAAGATAATGCAATGAGTGATCTCGATATTTCGGATCAAATGGCGTCAGAATGTATCGATGAGAAGTCTCTTCCTCTGTTCAGTCCAACCACACATGTTAGCTTTTAGTAAATGGATGTGGCTATAAATTTTATAAAACTATCATGAGTCGTACTGTCGTTCTTTTCTTTATGAAGAAATTAACGAGTACATTGGGATGAAAAAATTTTGTTCACAATGCTGTGATGAACGTAAAAGTTTTGGAATAAATTAAATTCACAAAGTTCGAAAGAAGAGCATTCTTAATTTAAATTCGAACTGATATTTCCTCCTTACAGATTTCTTCTAACAATACTAAAATAATGGTCATAAAATATTTCCTTTTTTATTTCTTAGACAATTCATCATCCGATATCACTGAGACCAGAAATAGATATGGTTCCAGGATCACCATTGGTTAATCCTGGTTGCATTCCGCTATCACTTATGTCTTCTTGGTAAGCACTTCCATTAAGGCTTTATTTCATGTGAATAATATTTTCGTTTTCGATTCGTTTGTTCGTTAACATTCAACTACATTTTTTAAAGCAGTGATCAACAAAGTGATAGACATTATATGGATGTACTACGACCAATCATGGATCTGAAAGCTGATAATGTAAGTTATTTCAAACAATCATACACAATACTCTCATTAGCTTCTTTTATTTTGCTAAAGATTTGTATAGCGTACGATAAATAAAGATATATTGTTGATAGATTTTCTAAGAATGAGTCGCTTGTAGGGTAGCAGCATGCTGGCTACCGATACAGATCGTGTCATGAGCAGCAGTAGTATAATAGAACCGCTTATTTCATCATTCCATCCCTCACCATTTTTATGGAATACTGTGCTGAATTTTCCATCACCTTCGACCCTTCCCACTGAACAACAACAACAACGACATCAACAGCAAAAACAACAACAGCAGCAGCACTATCATTATACGTATGGCACGTTCAATACTGTGCACGCCTTTTGTAGCAAAGCTCACACAGCTTTTAATTCGCTGGTACATTAATTTCTCAAGTTCTATAACAAATTCCATCTATTCCTTTTAACATTTTAATCTCTATTTTCACTATTTCTTAGTTGATTATGAAAAAGTTTACTTATGCTAAGTTTTCAACTTTTTTTCCCTAATTTGAGAGGCAATTTTTGTGTCTTTTTCATGAGTGGTGTAAAAACTTACGAAAAGACCATGTTTTTAATACATATTTTCTTATATATATTATCAGAATTGTAAAAGTTGAGAGGCTTAAGCTATTTGCTGTTAATTAATTTTTTTTGGGCTAAACATGCTTTAAGCTTGAATATTATATCCAATCTTTGCTATTTCATATTTTATCTGAGTCGAACTTTTTTACGTATATATTATCTGAAAAGCATTTCTGCTTTCCTTTTAAATATTGTCACTTTAGGCGTTAGTCTGATGAACCGAAAAGTATTCATTTGGTGATATTATTTGAAAAATATATTTTAAGATGGGTTTTTCGACGGCTGATCGGCTGCATTTAAATGAAAATACTGCAGTGGAACCAACAGCGTCATTGTTTCCACTTCCGGTATCGATATCATCTGAAAACGGTTTTTTAATTCCACTGATTTTGTCTCATGAATCAGGCATGCAAAATGGATCTGTTTTGATTTCATACAATGAGGAACCTGATCGTATTGCCAGCTTGAAAACAGACAATAGCTTCAGAAATCAGATCGAGTCGGGAAAATTCACTTTTCCCAAGAAAGCTGAACAGCAGGTTGTTTTCAGATTCATTTGTTATATAATTTATTGCCACACACTCTTTCACAAGTTTTAATGAAAATTTTAGATACCATTTGCACCTCAGGTTGTCCCTCATCTTCGTGATGATGTTATCGATAGCGGTCAGCACAATATTAACGTGATGAGTTCAAGAAGTTCAGCTTTCCAGGTTTGGTTGACAAATCAAGAGTTAGAAATTTTTTCACTACTTTTTTTCGTTATCTTGCTATCAACTTTACATAACAGCTCTTGATTCCACTTTTTTTCTACTTTGAAACTTTTTGTTTGCGAAAAAATAACTTGAATGCTTTTTTAGTAGAAGTTATCCTGAGACAAATCCGTAGCAGTTATATTAGTGATCAGTTATGTATTTGCCGTCATTCATTTATTTACAGGTTACGGTTATGAAATCTACAAAGGTAGAACAAAAAGCGATGGATGGTAATCATTTAAAAAGGTTATTATTTTTCATCTCTCTACTGCTATACAAGTCATATTTGAGAATTTATAAGTACTTCAAATATTAATTTTGACTGTAATTTAAGTTTTTCTGTGGAATTCACGCAACCATCAGAGATCTCTTCCTCCCTTCCACGTGACTCATTGACTATTGTTCCCTGTACAAAAGATAATCTGGATACTTTTGTGCTGATGCCAACTCCAGCTCAAAGAGGCATAGCAAAAGGACAATTGCGAAGTATGAAAGTTGAATCTGGAGGTATTTATTTGTTTTTGGAATATTTAATCTTTTTTTATTGATAACAAAACAGCTCCACGAATTTACTGTTCAAATACTGATAAGACCCGACAGGGATATGCTGTTTTAATTTGGAACAGCAATTACGGGGCAGTAAAATGCCACAAAAGCCTGTCGAATGAAGATGAACGAGAACAAGTAATTCGAATCCTTAACGATCATACTGCTGGACTTTTAAGTGTTCTGGCCGAAATCGTCACAGATCCCTCTTTCGCATGTAGATAGTAGTGATATATTTCTTAAGGGACTGTAAACACTTTTTTTTGTAATGGTGACAAAATATATTCTATCGGAAATTTATAATAAAAATGGGCGAAGGCCAAGATAAAATATAATTTATAAGTTGCTGAGCTGAGTATGAAGCATAACATACGTAGATATTGAATTCGCATTTTTATTCATTTCAAAGATGGATAAAACTTTCCCGGTATCTGGCATTTTGAAAGTGTGAAATTGATGATGAAAAATATAGTCGGACTTTGGAAATGTAGTTTATATATTATGTGAATATGAAAACATATAGGAAGTGTAATTTATGATTTCAGAAGCAAGTGAAGTGGAAAAGCCGTATGAGACAGTTCAGAAATCAGGGCTTGAGGTAACGATTGTAAATTCTTTATTTGATATTTTCCAATATTAGATAGAATCGAGCTTTTTTATTCGTTTTTCAGAAAGATTATAAGGAATTGAACGAAGCAGTAGACGTTGTTGATGTTTCTACAGTATCAAACAGATTATCGAGTAATAGTGAAATAGAATTAAGAAGTCCGACTAAGAAACTTTTTAAGCGGAACGATGAGAGCATGGACAGGTTAGTCCGATGACAATGAGCAGATTATATTATAATC